TTATATTGACTGCGCTGTCATTAAAAGAAACACATGAACAGCATGAATCCTGTCGGTGTCCGTTCTCCTCGATCGCATGCAGCACTCATGCAAAAGCAGCAACAGTAAACTTTAGACTGATTTTTTAAAGCTATACTAGAGATAAGGATACAAGGAATTATCATTAAAATTGTGAGAGAGCAGTATGTAGCCACGACGACTCTGCTTCTCCCACTGATATTCTGACCACTCCCACGACGACTCTGCTTCTCCCACTGATATTCTGACCACTCCCACGACGACGCTGCTTCTCCCACTGATATTCTGACCACTCCCACGACGACGCTGCTTCTCCCACTGATATTCTGACCACTCCCACGACGACGCTGCTTCTCCCACTGATATTCTGACCACTCCCACAAGTGTTTTTCCCTGCTCATCGAGAATTTGACCCCTTACATGTTCATTACACTGCCCCCATGAAACCATATGGATCCAGCCCACCCACCGAGAAGCTGAGCATGACCATTAATATTCTCCGACTCCTAAGGTTCACACCGATGCAGCCATTACCTCAATATCCTTGCAGGTTTCATTTCCCAGAAAAACGAATACACAACATACATATTGTAAGATATATTGTTAATTAAAACATCTAATTCACTTAGGAAAATTACTTCCACTGCAAGGATATTATTTTCCCCTTCAGCAATATATTTAACAGGACTGTTGAATGCAAAAGATGACATCAGCTTGAATGGACACTATAATTAGTACAGCCCAACCTTTGTCTTCAGGCTCCTTTCAAAGAGGGTAATTGCACAGCATTCAGTATTAAGTCCTTCCCTCCATCTTCCACAAATAAAAATGACAGCATGCATCAGAATTAGGCTGAGTAGAGTAGTACTATCTGTGTGTGGAGCCCACAGGTGACAGATTATGAGGTAGAGGGTAACTTCATTTGGCCAGCTTCTGTTCCACAAGCTGCTGTCACAAGGTGAATGAGCCTGTGTAGGTCATCCAAGATCTTACCTCCATTGAAGTTTCAACATCTAGTGGTCCAGCTTAAAAGCTGTATAAGACATTTTTGGCAGCATAAAGTACCATAAATGCTGCATGTGAAATAATATGTTTAAGATTCCTTTTACTCAACCAGTATGTATACCACACTTAGATAAGTAAGCAAATGTTTTTTTTCCCCCAAAGCACCAATACAGATGAACAGATACCACTGCACAGAAGGCACAACTGCAGCGTCTGTTTTGTGGCAACTTAAGGGGCGAAGTCCAGTCCCTAAAAACCAGAACATGACGACCAAGAGCACAGAATGACATCCTTGCTAGGGGCTAAAACTTTAATTGTTAGGATTTAGTAACCAAACCATAATTCTAAAATAAGTGGCATATGATCTCAGTGACAAACTGGTTTATTTACAGGAAATGCCTTATAAATTCCCATTGTCCCAAAAACACCTTCCACCCGCAGGCTTATTTATGCAGAGTCCACATGCACAGACTGAGTGAGAAATCATCCATACGGCAAAATTCCACGCAAACACCACAAGACATAAATAGGGAAACTACAACAATCCTGACAGGAAATTCTCATGCCGTGCAAACGGACCTGGTCTCTGCACCAAACCCAAATGATGCTTCAGAGACTTAAATGTAATGACTATGTACGACTAAAACTCTTCTGTAAAAACAACCCAAACTAACTTCATGCAGCTACTGACATGTGCAGCAGAAGAAAAGGCTCAGCGGCAGTAGAACTTAACATGACTGAGAAGAGGGAAGCACATGTGCAGGAAGTCGAGCGCATCTGATAGAAAAGAGAAGTGAGAAAGTGATTCGGCTGCATTTTGCTGGAACCTCTGAAGCCTGTGGAAACCAAAACGAGCAGCAAGGCACCATCCGACTGGCAGCAATCGAGCGCGCAGTCTCTTTACACGTGTGAAACAAGCAGGCAGATTCACATGATTTGGGGGTCTCTTTCAAATGAAACTCACAACACAAGTTGCAAAACAATTCAAATACAGATTCTGCCCACCAGAAGCACAAGAATAGCGGCTGCTCAGAGCCTGCAGCTAAGCCTGTGTCTGGGTGTGTTTCTATTCTTGCACGGGGCAGGGTTAACCACAATTCTATCGTAAAAACGTACCACTTGTTTGCCATTAGCCGGCTATTACTCGCACAAGCCAGTAATGAAACAGCGGCCTAAATTTGATTTTAATAAAAACGTCAAGCTTTCAGCGCAGGCTGATGGAACCACATCTCAGGCTTTCGTCTTTACCGCCTTCCAAGGTTTCCTGTCACCATAACGGGAGGAATGTTTCAGCCGAACCCCAAGCAAAGGCCACTGTCATTTTAGGGATAGTTGTTTTCATAAGTGATGAACGCAGATTTAACCAAGCTGCGCCTATCTGTTATATAACTGACTGAGAGGCTTATGCAGGTGTTGAATGACACATGAAGTTTATTCTACATTTACTGGAGGCAAATTCGGTTTTCAGGGAGTAAAAAGTCACACCACCAAGGTGAAAAGCAGACACACATAACGGGAGGACGGCGGGAAAACGGCCAGCAAAGGCATGTCCCCACTGCTGATATGACAAGCCTTGTGTCTCCACCTGTATGACGGGGCCACAGTTCATGCAGGGTACTAATCACCAAAGGGGACCTAATCTGTTGAATAAGTAAGTTGGAGGAAAAAAACAGGACACAGCATAATTTCTGGAGAAGCTTGCTTTGAAGCTTGAACCTCACATGCACGCAGCTTCAGGAATGCTTGCAATTTATGAATTTTGTGCACTTATCAGTTATGTGTCACATTGGCTTTAACTCAAATTTTTATCAAACCGTGTGTAGCCAGATCTGAAAACCACCATTAATGGCTGCGAAAAGTCAAAAACTTCAGGAAAATTCAGTCTTCGTTGGAGAGCTTGTTAATAAATGGCTGGCCAGGTTTAATCACCACAGAAGGATATTAGAGGGTGTAAATTCTAATGTCAAATCCATCCATCAGCTTACCCAATAATACCCAATGATAAAAACAGCATTATAAAACACAAAACATTACCAAAGTATAGAGAACACAGTTGCTAAACAATTATCGCATTCTGTGGACAAACAAAATGTATCCTATATGGGAAATGAGATGATTCTAGCATAGAAATTGATTAAAATAAAAAATAAATCAAGTCAGACAGAGCTTTCCCACATTTTGCTTCCCTGAGTAGCCTGTTCGCTCACTGACCCCTATGACCCCTAAAATGGTATGATCCTGGACATGACATCATCGTGGCTGCACGGTGACTGGCGAATGCCTCTGGGCAACCTTCAGCCTACCCCAGGGAGTATGGGGTAAAAATACGCCGTCACAGGGCACATACACACACTCGCACTCTATGGGCAACGCAGAGACGCCATTTAGCTTACCCACATGTTTTAAGGCTGTTGGTGGAAACCAGAGAAAAGGTGAATTTCACACATACAGAGAAGGGAAGGGATTTGAACCCACAACCCAAGATCCACACAGTCACATTGCTATCCACTGAACCACGATGCTACACAAATACAGCATCTCTGCTTTTTATAGTTATTTATCTATTTCTTCAGGAAATGGTGATTGGAAGATGCATGTCAGGGTCCATGTGGAGAATTTATTTCTACACCATGCAACATCACTTATCTAGCGATGCAGAATGCATCTGAACACCTTTTAAAACTAAATACTAAAAACTAAACAAGTTTTCCCTGATTAGGAAGTAGAGAAGTTTCAACTATCTTGCAACCTTCATTAAGATCCATCCATTTTAAGTAACTGCTTATTTAATTAGGCTGAGATCTCCCTTGATTGGTGTTTCTCCTTTGGCAGCACCAGCGGTCCACATTACTGCTCCCTGCCCAGACTGTCTGAGGGTCCCCGAGGACAGGGCTGAGAAACACTGCACTAGATGGTATACAGTTCCACTGCAGGTCAGGTACTGACAGTGACTGTCCAAGAACAAGATTGAGCAGCTCACTGACAGAGCCCGTCTGCCTGTGTGGGCACCTTGCTGTTTTTCATCAGAGCATTGTCACTAAATAAAACAAGTAAATAGAATACATGCAATAATAATAATAATAATAATAATAATAATAATAATAATACCAGTAATACCATCGATCACACTTTTACTATTTTTATCAAACCCAAAGCAGTCACTGACCTTTACTTTGTCATTCCTCACTAAACCTTGAGCAAGTAGACAATCGAAGTAAATTAAGCGCATATGCACATAAAAAAACTTCAGCAGCGCGTTCTCTACAAAAAAACAGTCAGAATGTAAATCGAAGAAAAGATAAAAGGACTATATCACAAAGAGAAAAGTGGTTAACAACCATACTTGTATTCTGTGTATTATGGCAAGAAGGAAATATCATGAGAGCCGCCGTGTACGAGCATGATTAGAGAACCATCCTGCACTCACCTCTATCTTCAGAGAAGCGCATCCTTTCAGGAATTCGCGTATATTTGCAATGCAGTCCGCTTCATTTCTCGGCTCCTGGCAATACTAAAAACCAAAAGCAGAATGAGAAAAACAACGTTACATTACTGCAAGCTTTTTAAAACCGTGCATGTGACTCTGGAGAATTCGCGTTCTTGCAAATACTAGCTGTTAAATGGACGTACTCAGAGCAGTCGTTTGAAAACGTAAACTGGTCCGCAGCGTTGTTTCCGACCACTTTTATAAAGTAGCAAAACAACACCCCCTGTACATACACAAACAGGGACACTGACACGGGCGCACGCGTACGCGCAGTGTAGCAAAGCGCAAGGCCGATCGCTCGCGGAAGGAAGTGACGGAGGCGGCGGGAGCCTCCTAGCTGTTCGCCTTACGGAGCAGCAGCCGCAGCCGCAGCGAAGCGCGCGCTAGTAATGCCCGCTATTTTAAACATCGCCGCTCGCGGGTGTAGTAATGCGAGCAGGACCCTGCCAACTAATGCAGCCGCATTAAATGTTACGAATATGTACCCGATCATCCAATATTTAACAAATCTTTCTTACGGTCTTTGTTACGTTTAAAAGAAGACTGTTTGTTTTTCTTTTCACATCACCAGTGCTTAATTGTTGCCAGTTAAAATGGGTTGTCATTTCTTCCTCTGCGTCAAAAAACAATAGCTGAGGAACAGAGCACTCACAAAGCAACTTTTTTTTCCCTTTAAACATAACATTTCAGCATGGAGTCATTTTACCATTTCATACACCCAGTACATGAAAAAGGACGGGATCACAGACTACGGTCCTGTACAAGACCACTTTAGCCCAGCTTTTAAATATAAAAAGATCTTATTCCGTTGTTCAACGGCACTCATATTAAATGCTAAAATAAACGTCAGTTTGTCGGAGTGTGAAGCATATGCGGAACCAGATTGTAGAAGTCGGTTAACTAGTTGAAACCCATGCAGTAGTGACAAAATTAACTTTTTACTCGTATATATCTAACTTCCGTGCACGTTGAGTATCTTGTTGTGCTTCAGGCTAGTTCTGTAAACGCGAAAAGCTCCCCTCTCCAAGGTTTTATGGCTGATGAACCTGTATGAACAAACTGCTTGCCTGAACTGGACCGGAATGCATCCAGAAACGGCACACGACTGAAATGCACGCGGCACTGGAACGGCAGTGCGCTTAAATGCACGCGGCACTGAACGTCTCTAGCAATTTAAAACACTTACATGAGTTCAAATAATGGATATACAGTGACGGCAGCCATTGTAATGATTAAAATACGGAACACCGTTATTATGTATACAGGAAGTTGACGCACATCTTTGCCCAGTATACATAGTCCTTGTGTGTGAATGTGTATATGTGTGTATCTATATATATATAAATGTGTGTGTGTGTGTTTATATATATAAAGACACACTCACACGCGACGTAATAAATGAGAATCGCATTTGGAGAATTTCGGTACGCGCAGCCACAGACGAGAAACTTGAGTTTCAGCAAAGTTTGCGTTATTTCATCGCTTCGTCTCCAGTTCTCCATATACAACCTAGCACATGCTCGAACAAAGAACATCATGTTACAGTCTACACCATCCACTTTTCTTTTTTCCCACCATTGCTACAGGATAATGTTACGATTCGTACCGCCATCCCAGCATTACCTTCTGGATCGAGCCCGGTAGAAGCCTGTCCATGAGCTTACAGAGCACAACTCCATCTTTGAGAGATGTTTTAAGAAACTCCTCCGGATCTGCGATGTTCTTCTTCGGAGAGTTCAGAACTCCTAAGGAAATGAGCCAAGTAACAGTTTGCTCCTCCGGGTTCATGTCTAAGGCGGACACTGCATGCACCAGCGGGCTGAAAGCGCCGAGATGTTACCCACATCCGTGAGACAGACACGCAGCTCTTACATCCGCCTTTGTGCCCTTAGCCTTACACGCTAAACTCTCGCCAGCTTTCTCGGAGTCCGTCTATTTCTCCTGACAGGGAGGGAAAAAAATGGTGGTGCCGATCAGGAAATGTTTTCCGTAATTACGTCCATTTCCCTCCTGTCTTTAATTACAAAGATCTCAATGCATTAGACTGCGTACAAACTTGAATGCAAGTCGTGAAGGTTTTGCGATTTATTTTTTTGGAGGTGTCGTTTTTCATTTTCCAAAATGCAAACGTAAGGGCATTACCGCTACCCTCTGGAATGCATGCCGGCTTTTGTTTCTCCAAGACGGGTTTCAGATCTCGGATACATTTTAGTTTAATGCTAGTTTCTCACACAAGTCACTTGACACAGCTTTTATTGAAAAGATTACACTTTAATGTACATGGCAAACACTCAAAACATCTCACAGGAAATCTTAGTGTCACTTTGCTTATTACAACAAAGTTTAAGATGGCAGTCACAATTACATTAGAGATGTTGCAAGTCTTCCCACTGGGGACTTCAGAATGGACTGTTCGTTAGACCAGTCGGCCCCACAAAGGTCTTGACCGGCTGCTGCAGTAGCTAAAAGCAAGAAATGAAGAGGCGGTAAACACTACAGCAATATCAGACAGGTCTGGGGTGATACAAGTTCTGAAAAACTGAATTTCCTCCCATTCATCTAATACATTGAAAACAAATTAGCAGGAGTAATGGATACTTAGCCTTGAAAGTTTCTCAATAAGATCCTGTTTTCCACTTACATCCATCACTCAGCATTTGAGCAATCTTTCTAGACGACTGATAGCCTCGGGCTATTGTTTTGATTACTTTAAATAATTCTCCCTCCTGTTAGTAGGAAAGACATCCAACTCAGCACCAGTCATCTTTAGTTTGACACCCCCCCCCCCCAAAAAAAAATGCAACTGTCATTGACGGCCTTGCTTCGCTCATGCCATCTTTTAAAAAGACCCGCCATGTTTGTTGTGAACACTCTAGACTGCTTCAAACAGCCTCTTTAGTTTTCCGGAGATCAAAAATACTGCCACACATAGGGAAGCATTTCATTGCTAGTATGCATTAACAAGCAGTGCCACCGCTGCCCAGATCGTGGGCATCTCCATGAAGTTAAACTGGGACCACAGCTTACGGATAACGGTACAAAAAACATCCGGTCATCAGATTGCCTACCCACCTTCAGGAAATGCATCAAGACCCATCTGTTCCCAAAACATCTACCAGCCCAACACCAGTCCATGTTCCCTCAAGATTGATTTGAATAGATTCCCTATCATGTTCTTACTCTTTGAGATGCGTCTTGTCGCCATCTCCAACACTGCTCACACTCACAAATGTGCTTTCATTGGGAGATCAGTCTAGCCGCACCTGTGCCAAGTGGAGTCCGTGACAGCTGTGAGTTTGCCATGTGGCACTTGCCTTACTCGTATGTTGCTTTGGACAAAAGCGTCTGTGGTCAGACAGACATTAAATACCAAACTATCTGGTGTCACACAGTCATCAAGACCGATAAAAGTAAATATTCCTAACGCTATGACACCGCAAATGAGGTGCAATGCATCACACCATTGAATCCTTCTCAAAACTGGACATCATTCCTCAACTGACAAAAATCAGATCACGTAGTGGAGTCTGTATACGGAGCAGGAATTAGCCATTTATTTAAAAAAAAAAAACAAAAAAACACGCACCTTTACCTTGCAGACAGCACCAGAGCTGCCGCCTCACCATGAGGTTTGTCCAGTCATTTAAATGTTCGTTCATCTTATATATTCGGAGATGAACTTACCCTGAAACAAGAAAACCACAAATTAGCAGCCAGTAATTTTCACTACTGTGAATAATGAATGACTGAATAAGTCATTAAAAAGAAACAGAGCCACCCTTTCCTTTGCCCTCCTTCCTCGTATTTAGACTACGGTCCAAATTGGCTTTTCCTTCAGTTTACGCTCCAGTTTGCGTTCCATTATTGTAGTTTTTCGACGTCAGTTTGGGTGTCCTTCAGTGAATTTGGGCATGCTGGATTAAGTTTGACTTGTGCCGAAACCAAGGCATCCTTTGGTCTACAATAACGTTACATCCATTGATTTTGCATAGAGGTTGCACTTACATTAAAATATCACTATGGTGTTAAGTTTCCCCCCTTGCTCCTTTTAAGGCTATCGATTGTAGCGGAAAACTGCCTGCTGCATCTGTTAAACATGAAGGCTTGAGTTGAGAGGATTCTGAACATCGAAGTTACATTTTATACCATCATTTTGGTGATTGCTACTCACGTCAGAATTTCACAGCCCCTTAGATGAGGAAAAAAAGTTCTCTTTGCTTACCATCTGTTGACAGGTAACTTGTTTTTATCTGTTGAATGTTGAAAAGATTCACTTGCGTTTTGGGTGCCAGGTTCTTTGGCTAGGTCGGTGCAAGCCATCAAAGTTAGGCTTTGGCTTGGGGGGGGGGGGGGTCCGTTACCAGAGGGATTACTGATAAAGAATCTGGGAAAAATGACATTTGCCTTTTTCCTTCAGTGAAACCACAAGTTGACTGAATCTCTGAAGCTATAGCAGACAAATTTCATTTTTAAAAAAGGTCCAATAGAGCTCCGATGTTTATGTCTGGTTAGAACGTTAGAAATCTCAAAGGCAAATGCAGGCAAATGAAACACAGCATTAATATTACTTCAGGTTTCTCTGAACATCCACCAGCTTTGATCACATTTTCAATAAAAACTTTATTAGTAAATGAAGGCATGTTATTCCAGGGAACTGCAGTGTGTAACAGTACTAGTACAAAGACACTTAAAATAGCTACAGACTAGATGGAGAAGGCTGCCCAAGAACGAAATACAAAACAAACATTCCATTTCTTCAAAAAAAATTGATGCTCAGGGATATGAACGGGGAGGGGGAGCAGTAAGGTTTGTCCACAGAACTCAAAATTTGCTTCTTAGGTCTTCCACTTCCATCTGAATGTTAGGAACACACTCATGGGTGCCGGTTTGAGAGAACTTCCTTTGTTTGCAAGTCTGTTCAGTATCTGCTGCGGGCGATTCCTCTATCCACCCGGCTGCCTCCGCGTCCGCCACCACGGAGCCCGCCCCGGCTCGAGCTGCCGTACGCGTCGCGAGGAGGGTAGCCTCTATCGATTGGGGGGGCAGGTCCCCTCTCCTGTCTGCCCATTCGTTCGCCACGGCTAGCAGAGTATGGGTCACTGCGACTGCTGGGGTAACTGTCACGACTGCCGTAACCATCCCTGGAACTGCCGCCATAGTCGTCATAGCGACTGCTCCCGCCACTTCCACCGTAGGATGGCGGAGGGCCCCTTGAGGGCGGGGCGCTGCGCGAGTTACCTGTAGGGTCAACGGGTCAGGTAATTGACAAGTTCACCACTAACAGATTGTGCTGCATGTTTCTGGGTTTTTGTCTTTATGCTTGTTTCACATAAACCTTTCCCCCAAACCTAAGTCAATACGTGCCATTTAATGCTACCGCTTCTCCCAATCAGCATTACAATATGGATGCAACTTCCAAAAGGAGGGCTGCTATGGCTCAAACCGTCTCCAAGACCAACTGAACACAGTGAACTCGGGGCCCCATGCCACTTCCTTTAGCTCTCCATGTTAGAACTGTAGATTGGCAGCTTTGGTCTTATGGCTTGATGGTTTTGTGATTAAGACCTGAAACTCCAAAAGTGAGGCATTCTGCTTATTCCTTGGAGCATATTTGAAGCTCAGTTGAAACATCGAGTTGAATTGACGTTTTTTTTTCTCACGTGGATCCATAGATTTTTGAATGTCGCATTTCGGGACACTGGAATCGCTGGAAAGAAGCTAGCTATGATGATGCCACTGGCCTAGACTGTACAAAACTCTTGGTCTTACCGTAACCATCATAGGGGTCTCTGTAGGAACCCGCACTCGGGCGATCCATGTAGCCTCGTGGCTCACGGCTTCCACCGTAGCTGTCACGTTCACTGTGGGAAGAGGAGGCATTACAGTGTTGGTTCCGCCAGCAACAGACACACCCAAAAAAAGGCTTGAAGTTTCTGCCGGGGTTAAAATTCATGGAAAGATGAAATACCCGTAGCCCCGTGACAAGGATCCATAATCATCACGAGAGCTAGAGTAGTCGCGGTAAGGGTAATCGCGGGGCGGCGGAGCGTAGTCCCTGGTCTCCCTGGAGCTCATGTAGTCTCGACTGGAGTAGCTGGAAGAGAGGTCACTGTGAGTAACAACGAGGAATAAAAGCCCATCTGTACCCGGCTGACAGAATCAGCATCATCTCACCTGTCCTTCGTGCTGTAATGGTCGTCGCGAGGAGACGGGTAATCATCCCTTCTAGAAAGCATGCCATCTCTGCGAGGTGGCGGGGGCCCATAAGGATCCCGCTCTCGAGACATCGGAGCTGCAAGCAAACCACCAAGTTAGGCTGTACATCTAATACAACACATTCCCCCCCTAAATATTTAGACACTTACGTCGGCCCATTGGACCTGAAGGTGCAGATCTCTTTGGGGGCGGGCCGCCATCACGGATTGGTGGGCCTCTCTTCAGAGGTGGCGGTCCTCTTGATGACATATCCTTAAAAAAGGGTTCTAAACCCATAATGATCAGTTAATAAGAGCAGCATGTGGCAAACACATAAAAATAAAAACTTAAATCAAGCTCAGAACTTCTTAGAGGACAAAAAAGGCAAAAATCAGCTGAATCAGAATGTTGCCATAATTTCATCATTGCCTACGCCAGTCACCAACATCGGTCCCGGCAGGCTGCTGTGAGTGCAGGATTGTAAGCTTTTCAAACAGGGTAATTCCCCAATATTACCATCGCCACTATCATGCCAAGCTGGTCCCCCTAGAATTTTCCCATGGCAAAGCCTTCATGCACGACCAATGGTTAGGTCTCATGGAAATACCCCTCCAGACAGACTCCTGTATAACAGATCACTTTACCAACACTCTTTAACAATGAAAAATTCTGGCAGACTGCAGGAATATTTAAGATTTAAGAATTTTGTAATTGGTTAACAGCTGAAGGAGGTGCTGGGTCCTTTTGACCCATACAGAGCAGGGCCCAAACCTGCACAGTTCATTTTGGTAAGCGTCAGTGATGGAATGGTACTCATGAAATCAGACAGCGCTAAACCCTGCACATGCACCGCAGCCTGTCACGTACAGGAAGTGGGTGTGGAGATATACCTCTTGTTGGGGGGCCTCTCATTCCACTCAGTCCTCTAGTTCCTCGTAACCCCCTCGGCGGGCCACGACCACGCAGAGTAGGGGGGCCTCGGCGGCCTCCGGTCTCAAACTGGGGCTTTGTTGCTTGTTCCACTTTAATCGGCTTGCCGTCAAGAGACTACACCAAAAAAAAATGTACACGTCAATGTGGCACTTGCCGTATGACAAGACTCATGCCAATTAGGAATCATTAAATCTGGTTCAGGGTGCACAGCCCCGCAGATAGGCTGGTAGCTCACCTTCCCATTCATCTCCCTCGCTGCATCCTTTGCGTCAGCTGGGCTCTCGAAGGTCACAAACGCAAAGCCCCTGGACTTGTTCGTCTCACGGTCTTTCATCAAAAGCACTTAAAAGGACAGAAGAGTGAGACAAACAGCCCAATAGTCCCTTTAGTGTTCCTATCCAAGTTAGCAAGCTCAGGACTTCTTAGAGGAGACAAGTTACTTTCATGTCATCTCGATCAAATCTAGCATTTTCATCATGGCTTGCATTAAATACACCGGGTATTTGCCACCAACTTGCCAAATCTGTAGCTATACAGACAGGACGCCACAGCCTGATCTTAGTCACCAGTATTCTACAAGTCAAATACACTACAGAGAAGCAAATTCAGTAAGACCACGATCTGTGCCGATACCTTCCGATATCCGGCCATATTTGCCGAAGTACTGTTCAAGGGCCTCCTCGGTGGTTTCGGTGTTCAGCCCGCCGATAAAGAGTTTTCCGGGTCGGTCTGCCTCAGCCATAACTGCGTCTGGTTAACACTAAACTGAAGGGGAAAACTAAATGATTAAATAAATCATAAATCGGAAAACTGCGATCAAATGGACCTACAAATAAATTCATTTGAGCTCTGCCAAAAATTCAGAACCACCACGCGGCAGCATATATACACATTTTTAAAATAAAACTCATGCAATAATTTTCTAGTCACTTTCAATTAATCCCACAGTGGGTCTGACCAGATTTCACCGAAACGAAAGCATGCTTCATCGACGGAATCTCAGCCCAACATGGACTCCCAAAAGCGACACGCTGCTACACACACATGCAAATAAAATAGAGCGGCTTTATACCACAGCGTCCCTAAAGCATATGACTGATAGATCCATTTATACTCTAGAAATGGTTTGCAACAGTGATCAGGGGTACCGAAGTGCGGGGCAAATAGCCACATTCGGCTTATTTAAATATCAGGAAAAATTCGGGATCCTCTAACATGCAGGGCAAAATGGAGGATCGATCCCGGCATGCTGGTTACCGCGCCACATGTAAACGATGAGCGTTTAATTTTAATATGTCACAACAGATCGACCATCAGATAGACATGAATCCATAACGCCGTCTAACATAATTGCAGCCCGTTTCATAAGAGAAGAAAATAATGCAGGAGTTTCAATAAAATGGCGCCCGAAAGAAAATGCAACTAACCAGACAAGCCGCGGGCGCAGGTTAAAACATCGAGCACTTCGTCGACAACGTGCGAAAGTTAAATAAACAGCTAAACAAAACAATGATACCCACCCAAAATGTATCAGATATGGATTTAGTAAGATTAGAAAAGACACACGCTCACCTCAGGACGAATATGGCGCACAGTGAGAAGCTCACAAAGACCAAGGGCTTCTTTATACTGGTCACGTGTCTGGGCTCGCGACACCGCCGTGCCCCGGAAGTGAGTTCCCGCTTCGCATGCGCTTCCTACTTGTAATGAATATTGTTAGTAACGTCTATCATGTCCTGCAGTTGATAAGTTGCTGATTACAATACTCATCGAATTTTGAAATCGCCCCTAGGTGGTTTTGACTGCTCTGAACCCTCCCTCTAAATGATTCTGTGTTAATGTAAAATGTTTATTATAGTAAAATTTTAGATCCAATTAGTTGCATTCAAAAAAGCTTTAAATGTGCAAAAGAATATAAAAAGGGGAATACGAAGTATTAGCTCAATATTTTTTTAAGTAATTTGAATAGCCTAAACTGTCATTTAGATTACTGAAGGTACTTATTGAAATCGCATATTTTAAATGTGCATGCATTATACTTTATGGTTTATATAGATAATACATCATTAGACATCTCAACTATAAGGCAAACTAGATGAGGGAGGTGGATGATGGCAGGGGTCTAGTTAGAGATGCATCGATAGGGGGGCTCTGTCTTTACTAGGGGGGCAATGGCAAACATACACTCACCTAAAGGATTATTAGGAACACCATACTAATACGGCGTTTGACCCCCTTTCGCCTTCAGAACTGCCTTAATTCTACGTGGCATTCATTCAACAAGGTGCTGAAAGCATTCTTTAGAAATGTTGGCCCATATTGATAGGATAGCATCTTGCAGTTGATGGAGATTTGTGGGATGCACA